TTCTCCTCCCTCTTATACATCCACGAAGCTGGATGTATAAAAGGTGGTCAGTTCCTCAGCCTGGAAACCTGAGGGACTGACCACCTCAAATATTTTTCCTCCAATTCCGAAGGACTGATTATATCATCTTCATTTCCTTACTACTGCTGCCTTTGTATTTGACTGAAGAAGTCTACTGTGTAGGTCAAACGTTTCATCAATAAAGATACCCAACTGGTGCACGTCTGTCTTAATCTCCAACCTGTCAGTATTTTAAACCAGTTTTCAACAAGGTTCTTGTCGACAGTTCTTTTCAGAACTCAATAGTATCTTGCACGACGATGCGCTTCCTGACTATATGAATATAATAATAATAATAATAATAATAATAATAATAATAATAATAAATGTAATTCAGAAAATTTTTACTAATTGTATCACAGGCACTCTCAGAGACGTTGTTCTCTGGTCTCAGAGAACATAGGCACTCTCAGAGACGTTGTTCTCTGGTCTCAGAGAACATAGGCACTCTCAGAGACGTTGTTCTCTGGTCTCAGAGAACATAGGCACTCTCAGAAGACGTTGTTCTCTGGTCTCAGAGAACATAGGCACTCTCAGAGACGTTGTTCTCTGGTCTCAGAGAACACAGGCACTCTCAGAGAAGTTGTTCTCTGGTCTCAGAGAACATAGGCACTCTCAGAGACGTTGTTCTCTGGTCTCAGAGAACACAGGCACTCTCAGAGACGTTGTTCTCTGGTCTCAGAGAACATAGGCACTCTCAGAGACGTTCTCTGGTCTCAGAGAACATAGGCACTCTCAGAGACGTTGTTCTCTGGTCTCAGAGAACATAGGCACTCTCAGAGACGTTGTTCTCTGGTCTCAGAGAACACAGGCACTCTCAGAGACGTTATTCTCTGGTCTCAGAGAAAACAGGCACTCTCAGAGACGTTGTTCTCTGGTCTCAGAGAACACAGGCACTCTCAGAGATGTTGTTTTCTGGTCTCAAACACACACACACACACACACTGGCCGAATAACTGAGTTGATCTCAACTATAAACACTGGAAAGTTCGCCTTTCCTGGCAACATCCCACAACAGGGGGATCAGAACCTCTCCAAGCCCAGATGAGAAACCTCTTTAAAGTCTTCCGATTCTTTAAAAGCCGAAGTAGCGACGCTCTGAACACGGTTAAGGAGCAGAGGATCGCGGCCTTCAAGGGACATATACACATATTTACTGCCTTTATTTACAACGGAAGTGGAAATACAAGGGTCACAATTGATATTATTACTTATTATTTTGTTAATACAACGTTTTATATAATATTATTCCCTTTGCAAAAGGCGTTAAGGCAAGGTATAAAAATAAAGGATGAGATAAGAGACGTGTAGCGTTTGATTCACTCTCTTTGGAAGGTTTCTAAGTGCTTCCCTTTGCTCTGGAAACTGCAGGTTTCTATAGAGCCAAAGAGGCTCACGAACGAGTCCCCTCCTGGGTTTCTAAAAAGTTCTAATCAATGGTTCTAGACTGAAGCTCTGGGCTCTCTCTATATAGCTCTAGATTAAAGCTTGTAGCTTTCTAGAGGGAGGGGGGTTCTTTAGAGCAAGATGGCTCTAGAGTAAGCCATGCATGGCTTTAAAAGATTTCTACAACGTGAAAGGCTCTTTACAGCCTTGTGTCTTTCTGAATAATTCATATAGAGTAAGAAAGCTCTATCCACACCTCGTAGGCTCTATAGTGCCCATCAAAGATTTTGATTCTTGGTAATATTAAACATCCCATCGTCCAAAAAAATAGATGGCATCAACATCCACATTATTTATATTTTATTTCGGATCCACTGACAGAACCACGTCTGCACGCTGCTAGGACCAACAGCCCGCTTAATCAGGCCGGCAGGTAGGAGGAGGTTGCAACACCTGGAACCATCAGTCACAGGGGTACTGTTTGATGCTGCTGAAGAGCTCCCGATTCAAGGAATCTGAGTTACTCCCTCCCCTTCCTCGGATCAAACCTGATTATCTGCCACCTATGAGTTATTAACAGGAAGCAGCTGTTGGTACGAGACTAGAGCGAGAGAGGGAGAGAGAGAGAGAGACAGAGAGACAGAGAGACAGAGAGAGAGAGAGACAGAGAGACAGACCACAGACAGACTTTCACTATAACAGACGGCTGTTATACATCTTACATCTCGCCTCTTTTGTACAAAATACGAAATTTTGACATCGTTATTTTGATATTTACGTTTCATCATCCGGTCTACCGGGGGGTAAACAAAAAAAACTAAAAAGTATATCGAAAAAAATCCTGAACGTAATATTGACTTTTAACCTTCAGAGTATTTACATAATAAAACGGAATGTTACAGAAACTTCGAAATAAAGCAACTTTCGAAACGTTACAGACGGGATCATTATAAACCACTACAGCTGTCTGGTCAATATTTACACTAAATACAGGAAAACCTGTATTAAATGTCTATAAAAAGTAAGATAACATACTGAGATGACAGATCATGTAAACATACTCTGTAGGTTTTGGTATTTTCGTGTGAAGACGTTTCGCCCGCCAGGGAATTTATCAGGTGATAAAGTCCCTGGTGAGTGAAACCTCTGTACACTTAAATGTCATAACCTATAGTGTGTTTCTTTATTTACATACTGTCCATATACCCTACTGTTGTATTACCATGATAACCCATGTAAGGGTGAGACAACCCATGTAGAGGTGAGACAACCCATGTAGAGGTGAGACAACCCATGTAGAGGTGAGACAACCCATGTAGAGGTGAGACAACCCATGTAGAGGTGAGACAACCCATGTAGAGGTGAGACAACCCATGTAGAGGTGAGACAACCCATATAGAGGTGAGACAACTCATGTAGAGGTGAGACAACCCATGTAGAGGTGAGACAACCCATGTAGAGATGAGACAACCCATGTAGAGGTGAGACAACCCATGTAGAGGTGAGACAACCCATGTAGAGGTGAGACAACCCATATAGAGGTGAGACAACTCATGTAGAGGTGAGACAACCCATGTAGAGGTGAGACAACCCATGTAGAGGTGAGACAACCCAAGTAGAAGTGAGACAACCCATGTTGAGGTGAGACAACCCATGTAGAGGTGAGACAACGCATGTAGAGGTGAGACACCCATGTAGAAGTGAAGCAACCCTGTAGAGGTGAAGCAACCCGTGCAGAAGTGAAGTAACCCATGTAGAAATGAGACAATCCATGTAGAGACGATAAACCCATGTGGAGATTACTATTGTTGTGTACTTGTATGCCTGTGTGTATTTATGTATGAAAGAAGAGAGGGCGTGACCTGCCTTGCGATTTACAGCTTGTGTGGATCACTCTGCAACTTCCTTCAAGATATCGAACATCGCTGCTATCAGGAATGACCGGTCGAGGTCCCTTCCTCTGTTCGATTCTCTTCTGAAAGAGTGTAGCATTAACCTGGCGCTGGTGTCCATCCTATCAATAGCTAAAACGATAACCCCGCCTTTCAGAACCCACACTACATCATTAGTTTTAACTCTGGCTTCAAAATCCAAGTGCAAGTGACCCCCGTCAATCCTTGAAGAATATTTGACTTTGAAACCCCGTGTGTGTGCGTGTGTTAGTTACCATTTTGTCGTGCGTGTGTGTGTGAGTGTAACATAGAAGCCCTGTAACCAAAGAGAACCTAAACGTGGAGTGCGCATTGTTTACTTGGAATTCTTCGCTGAAGAACTCCACGACTCCCGTCAACGGCCACTTGGAGTCGCTCTGAGGAGGGCTCCGTCACAAGCAGAGTCGCCAAAGGCCACTCTACAGCAACACAGCCTTCCAGATTGCCCCTAGGCCTCATGAAGTCATCAGCCTCTTTGGGGGGTCGACTTCTTTAGAATTTGCTCTGCCTCATCAAAAGCACTTAGGCTTTCTCAGGTGTCCTCTATCTTCTCTTAAAATAGTTTGGGATCTCTTCGGAGGGTCGATGGGTTCCCCAGGGGTTCCTATGCCTCTTTAGGGGTACTCTTACTCCCTAGTGGGTCTTCAGTCTCCTTAAGGGATCATGTGTCTCATCAGGGGGTCGTTGGTCTCCTCAGGAAGACCTTCGTCCCATTAAGTAAACCTCTATCTCCCTATGTCTCCACGCGACTTTGTAAAATACTCTAAATGCCTAAGGAAACATACTATTATAGATTCGTCTGATACGTAAAGGCCATAATGCAGCTCAGAAGAACTTCAAGAAATATCAAAGTGATCTAATCCGCTACATCTAAGTTTCTATATCTGAAATATACGATATGTGTAATTCGATCTCTTTACAATATAAACTCTGGGGAAGCTGCGAAGCAGGAATCTCTCACCTTTATGTCAGTTATAAATATCTGAGAGGTGTTAAAAAAGGAACAACTTGTTCTTATGTCCAATAAAAGTCTGGAAGCTACTCTATTCTAATATTTCTTTCTAATATATCAAAGATCACAACCCACATTTGGGAGAAAGAGGAAGTGATAACTGCAGGTCAAGTGATCTTGACCTGTCAGTGTTGAGTCTCGATCTCCTAGTGTGAGATGATTGCTTACCAAGATACTCTTAATTATTCTACAACAAACTCCTAAAACGTACTTATTCCTCTACACCGCTACTTCGACTGCGAAACATATATTTCAGACTAACTTGCTGAGGATCTATTTACACAAGATAGAAATATAGAGATATAGATAGCATCTGTATGTTAGCTTATCTAGAAACAAAACATTGTCAGGGTGCTTGTGAGAGAGACATCAATGTCTGACAGTGACTCTGATGGCTTCTCAGACTTCCTTCAGTGACTTTGTCCACTCACACACACACACACACACACACACACACACACACACACACACACACACATACAAACACACACAAACTCTTCAACAATATCACTGAAGACAAACGTCTTGTCTAAAATAGTTGTCGCAGCAGCAAAATCCATCACAGACTAGTCGAAGAAAGATCTCAAAAAAAAAAAAAAAATCCACAGAATTGCTGCTCCGGCTTTACTGGTTCGTCGCAGACAGCACCATCGCTGTCAACCACTAACTCTCCAAGACGAAAAGGCCATAAGAATGATGGTCCCAGAAACACTCAAGTTCAACTTAACTCTTACACTGACACTTGGCTCTTTGAGCTCCCTAGCACACTGTGGGAGTCGAGGGCAAATATGAGGATGAGGTCATGACTCCACCACAGCAAGAGATCTCCCTAAGATACACTGGTTAGAAAAGGATAAAGATGGGAAGATATGCCACGATGATGTAGTGATGAATGAAAATAGAAGTGCTACGATGATGTAGTGATGAATGAGAGATGCTGAGGAGAGAATGAATGAGACGAGAAGTGCCACACTTGGGAAACTGATTATTTTGTTTCACTATAAAATACACATGTTTATCTTGGTGCGACACTCTGTTTTCAACCACAATGCCGGGAGGAACTTGCTGGCTAGCTAGCTGATACAAAACACTGAATGAATATTCCCTTTATCTCCTCTTCTTGCAAAAGCTCTAAAGCTTCACACAAGGCAACGATACTCTCTCCCAGTGAAGGAGAGGACACAGATTGATAGCCAAAGCTTTACCTCTCCAACAGTCGTATCTCTTTGTCACAATAAAGCGAACAAGAAAAAATAAACAGTTCAGAAAAAAATGACCTAAATCATTTCCACCTTAAAATGTGTCTTGTTCTTGGTTCTTTATTGTCTTGAAACAAAACAATCAGATGAAAGTCTGCAGGAGAGAACACCGTATATACCTTCTTATAACTAGTAAATAATTCATTAGTTTTATTTTAAAGTATATATATACAGAAGCCCTGTAAACACAAGTTACTTATTGAACAACTCTCGCCAAAAACCACCTTTATTACTACCCATATAATACCTCTTTTGGTTTTGGTTTTTGAACAATTATTAAGAATTATCACCTCATGCTTACACCATTTTGTCAATATTCTTAACACGAGCCTCTCTCTCTCTCTCTCTCTCTCTCTCTCTCTCTCTCTCTCTCTCTCTCTCTCTCTCTCTCTCTCTCTCTCTCTCTCTCTCTCTCTCTCTCTCTCTCTCTCTTTCGAAACACACAAATATTTATTTTCCTTACACTTAATTCCATCAACATCATAAATGTTTTATTTAACTATTTTTGTTCCATATTTATTGTCTTGGCATTTCTTTCTACTTCGCCTTCCTTGAACATTTCCTTTTATCGTCTATTCATTAAACATTTCACATTTCATTTTTTCTCTATTATGTATGTTTGTAACCAACACTTAGCACATAAGGACACAGGGCGAGTGGGTGAGGGATCACATTAGGTCACCTGTGCTGGCTAGGGGGCCCTGGAAGAACCTAGGTGCACCTAGAGGTCACTGCAGGTGCACTGATAGAACCTGGAGAAATCTGAAGAACACCTGCTGACGCCTGCAGACACCTAAAAGCATTAGGGGTACTAGAAGTCCCCGTGGAGGCACCTGGATATACCACATATAGGTGCAGACAAGCGACCGGAGCGCGCAACAAAGTCCTCAGAACCTCGAGGTGCCAACAGGACTCGCGGGCCGTCACACAGGACCTACGGACTCATTCAAAACTGAACCTAGGGGCACCCATGCTGGACTTCAGGGACCCCCAGACAGAACCTTGGGGCAACACAGCGGACCTCAGAACACCATACAAGAGCTGAGGGTCACGGTAGGACACCACGAGACCATCTTATGAAGGTACGTTGACGGCGAGGCGACGGTAAGGCTCGTGACGGAAGCGAGGTCGAGCGACGCCGGCCTTCAGAGCTCCGTCCTTCTTCTCAGAGTCTGTAAAGACAACACAACACACGTTATCTCTCAGAATCTACAAAGACAACATAACAAACACACGTTATCTCTCAAAATCTACAAAGACAACTCAACAAACACACGTTATCTCTCAGAATCTACAAAGACAACTCAACAAACACACGTTATCTCTCAGAATCTACAAAGACAACACAAGAAACACACGTTATCTCTCAGAATCTACAAAGACAACACAGCAAACACACGTTAACTTACGCAAGGAAAATAAAACGTCAAATGAGAGCTCTTTAACATTAACAAAAATGTACACAGTAAAGAGAATTTATTTATTTTGCAATGATACAAATGACCGAGTATCCTGGATGCTGGCGGTATTTCCTTCATTAATAGGAACACTGACTCTCTGGGAAAGAGAGCTTGTCGCTATGGAGTCCTGTAAGCTCCTGATAAGTTTGCCACCACTTTTCCCATGATCTAAGGGCCTCTGATCCTACTGGATATATGTTACGGAAGAAGTAGAATGGAAGATGAGAAACAGGATTCCACATATGGACAAAAATCGGGTAACAAATTTTATATCTAGATGTATCGTCTGCAAACAACTAGCCCAACGACGATGAAGTTTAAATATCTGCCAGAAGAATGTAATGCAGAATATATTGAATACATTACATTGTGAAGAAAGATTAAGACCAGGCAGCTAGTGTCTAGTTCCCTCAAATACGAATCAATAAAAGGCAGTTTTACGTTAAGACCTAAAGCTTTCAAGATGTTATCCAAGTAAGGATTTTATCGCTTATAGAGGATCTGAGCCAAGGAAGTTAGGGAGCTTTTGAAGATCCGCTAAAGTCCATTTTGTGGATTAATTTCGGCATCTGCGTGAGACCGGATATTAAAGACCTCCATTGAAAAATCAGATGGTGGAATTCCAGGACCAGAAAAGGAAGGGAGAATGTGTTTTAAAGCCAAACATTGTGTGATTTATTGTAAAGAAAAAATATAAAATTATTATTTTTTTTTAGTTTTTTAAAGTTGAGGAGATTCCCGTCAGCTGTAACATTAATTGGTAGACCCAGAATGATCATATGCAGCGCCATCTGTTGAGTGTATTAGAAGCAGAAGATGTCACCAGGACGTTCTGGTGTTGGTTATGGGGGTTAACTCTTGGTGACAGTTACCTGGTGTTTGGCTGGAATGAGGCTGAGCACTTCACTCTCACTTGTTCTCCACACCAGGTAAGAAACTCTAACATTGAACTCTGTCTTCCATGTTTAGGGATGTTTCATCTCAAACTTAAGATATTAATGTTATATAGTAACCAGCAATTACTTTATTTCTACAAGAGTGATGGACTGAACACATCGATTCCAGGCTGAGGGACTGATTACCTCAAACTCCTCCTCTCCTTACCCCTCTCTGCTTTGTATTGGACTGATGAAGCCACTGTGTGGCGAAACGTTTCCTTAATAAAGATTCCCATATGTTGCGTAAGTGTCTCAATCTTCTACTTTATTTCAGATTAAAGATAATAATGTTTTATGATCGCCAAAATTTTTAAATAAGTTCAACTTTATTTTTCATTGAGCCTTCAGGAATTTTTATTGTTTGACTATGTGGTAACCTCTGTTTATCAGTTGCAGCTGCAGTGTGGGCAGCTGCAGGAGACACTGCAATAATAGAGCAGACTAGAGACTGGCCAACTCGTTAAGTATAGTCTCTAGAAGAGCGGAAGACAACTGCCACATCCAGTCTTCCATTTCCTGGAACCAATGATCTCCGACATGGCAAACTTGAGTCTATGTACTCGGCTATATTTCCAGGCAAGACATTTAGGAGAGTACAGATAGGAAGCGCCTGTCTGTCTATCTGGTGCTCAGAAGACGGAGGATCGAACCTCCACCATGTTTTGTGCTGAATGACCCACACGGGTTTAACGCTTAATATGAAATATTTATTTTATTTACTTCCATTTCCCAGAGACAGTATCTACTGCTGGGCTGGCCTGTACTGCTGGGCTGGCCTGTACTGCTGGGCTGGCCTGTACTGCTGGGCTGGCCTGTACTGCTGGGCTGGCCTGTACTGCTGGGCTGGCCTGTACTGCTGGGCTGGCCTGTACTGCTGGGCTGGCCTGCCCTCTCCTGCTTGGTATTCCAGACATCAATTATGCCTGAGTTTCATCAACATCAAAAGCCGACCTTTACTTGAATCATCAGAGCGAAGATGAACGTCTTGAGGCTCACTCCTGAAGCAAGCTTGTCTTGAAGACTCACACTCAGTTACCTGTCTTGCCTCTCTACACCATCTACAAGGTTGTCTTGAAGACTCACACTCAGTTACCTGTCTTGCCTCTCTACACCATCTACAAGGTTGTCTTGAAGACACACTCAGTTACCTGTCTTGCCTCTCTACACCATCTACAAGGTTGTCTTGAAGACACACTCAGTTACCTGTCTTGCCTCTCTACACCATCTACAAGGTTGTCTTGAAGACTCACACTCAGTTACCTGTCTTGCCTCTCTACACCATCTACAAGGTTTCCATCTATGTGCTTTCCACATCTTACTGAAATGAAAAATATGTCTGTTTTCTTCCTCCTTACTTTCATTTCCTTTGTATTGTATTACCTTTCATTCCTTCTCCATGGAAATAATTTTTCTAACATGGAACACGTGTTGATGCCATTGTTGTGTTCTCAACACCGGTCATCAGAATTTTGAAGATGAAGAAAAGCTTGCTGAGCTTGTAAAATACTGAGTGAAAGTGATTTTAAATCAGGCATAAACCAGGTAGATTCTTGTCAAAAAATTTCTCTTGTTGACAGAAACCAAAATATTTGCATTTTCGAGGTGGTCAAGGTAGTATTGCATTCATGACCCGGGTGTCTTTAGCCCAACAGCTCCATGACCCTCGTGGGTTTAGCGTTTAGTTGCGATTATAATAATACTTCAGATCAAATTTGAGACATCAATTCAAAAACATTTTTTTTTTAATTTCGATACCGGAAATGGGAAGATGAATAATAATCATTTAAACACATTGGTCCCTGCGAGGGACGGGGAGGGGGTGATGCTGGTGAGGGGATCTTGATCTGATGATTTAGAGCTATCCTTTCTCTGATCGTTCGTGAGTACCTTCTGTTTCCTAAGGACTGACTTATGGGTTAGGCGCCTACCCATGACAGTTAATAATAATAATAATAATAATAATAATAATAATAATAATAAATTATATCATAAATGCTTGCATCAGTAAATCTGAACCAGCTAATATTAGACGTTAGCCATGTTCAGTGTAGTGTTGAGTGTGAGAATTCTTTAAGAAGTGAGAAAACTTATTCTCCGGTGGTAAATTAACCTAAAACTGTACAGAAATTAAACACAAATATCCGGCACATAGGAGAGAGAAGCTTATAACGACGTTTCAGTCCAACTTGAAACATTTACAAGTCAGTGTGACTTGTAAGTGGTCCAGAATGGCTCGAAACATTGTTACAGTCACGTTACTGTAACTTTAACTTTCTGTTCTATCTGAACAGAAATTATTTGTTGTGTGAAATTAATTGATGATAACGAAGGGGTAGACCAGACACACATGGTTAATGCACTGAGATGTAAACCTTTCTGTTCTTTGATAATGTGAGAAGTCGCGAATGCGCTTCGAATTTAATTATTTTTTTTATAGTGGTTGTACTGCATATTGTGATATCACCTGTTTACTGTGATCTTAATGAAGCTTTCTGTATATATACAATGAGAAGAGTTTCAGTGTATATACTCTGAGAGTTCACATTGATATATATTTTAGATGTTAAAGCATTTTCTTCCCAACACACACACACACACACACACATTCCAGATGCACACATGAACGCATGTGTTTGGCTCCAAATACACACATACACACATATCGTTGATTCCAGAAACACACATGAACGTATAGATTTTGTTCTAGAGATATACATGTAAGCATGTGATAGGCACAGAGCCTCGCCTGTCACCCTGGATTCCCAAATCTCACCAGAAAACAACACTGGCGTTCTTAGAGTGAAGCCACAGTCAATCCACCTTCTGATCGAACTTCGTTCTTTGAGAAATGCGTTCCTCGATCCAGCTCTCTCTCTCTCTCTCTCTCTCTCTCTCTCTCTCTCTCTCTCTCTCTCTCTCTCTCTCTCTCTCTCTCACTCTGTTATTCATGAAAGACATACAAGAGAAGAGTTGATCCACATCCATCAAACAAAATAACCTACCTATCTCTCCCACCCTAGTAAGCAACCCACCCCACACCCACCCCACACCCACCCCACACCACCCCACGCCCACCCCACACCCACCCCACACCTCCAGCATGGAACCCACCCATACCTACTCCAGCAAGCAACCCACCATACCCACCAGTAAGCAACCACCACACCCACCCCAGTAAGCAACCCACTCACACCCACTCAAATACGCAACCCACCCACACAGACTCCAGTAAACACCCCACACCCACCCCAGTAAACACCCCACACTCACCACAGTAAACACCCCGCACCCACCCAGTAAACACCCCACACTCACCCCAGTATACACCCCACACCCACCCCAGTAAACACCCCACACCCACCCCAGTAAACACCCCACACTCACCCCAGTAAACACCCCACACCACCCCAGTAAACACCCCACACCCACCCCAGTAAACACCCCACACCCACCCCAGTAAACACCCCACACCCACCCAGTAAACACCCCACACTCACCCCAGTAAACACCCCACACCCACCCCAGTAAAACACCCACACCCACCCCAGTAAACACCCCACACCCACCCCAGTAAACACCCCACACTCACCCCAGTAAACACCTCACACCCACCCCAGTAAACACCCCACACCCACCCCAGTAAACACCCCACACCCACCCCAGTAAACACCCCACACCCACCCCAGTAAACGCCCCACACCCACCACAGTAAACACCCCATACCCACCCAGTAAACATCCCACACCCACCACAGTAAACACCCCACACCCACCACAGTAAACACCCCACACTCACCACAGTAAACACCCCACACCCACCACAGTAAACACCCCACACCCACCCCAGTAAACATCCCACACCCACCCCAGTAAACACCCCACACCCACCATAGTAAACACCCCACACCCACCCCAGTAAACACCCCACACCCACCACAGTAAACACCTCACACCCACCACAGTAAACACCCCACACCCACCACAGTAAACACCTCACACCCACCACAGTAAACACCCCACACCCACCACAGTAAACCCTCACACCCACCACAGTAAACACCCCACACCCACCCCAGTAAACACCCCACACCCACCCAGTAAACACCCACACTCACCACAGTAAACACCTCACACTCACCACAGTAAACACCCCACACCCACCCTGTAAACACCCCACACCCACCCAGTAAACACCCCACACCCACCCCAGTAAACACCCCACACTCACCCCAGTAAACACCCACACCCACCCAGTAAACACCCCACACCCACCACAGTAAACGCCCCACACCCACCACAGTAAACACCCCATACCCACCCAGTAAACATCCCACACCCACCACAGTAAACACCCCACACCCACCCAGTAAACACCCCACACTCACCACAGTAAACACCCCACACCCACCACAGTAAACACCCCACACCCACCCAGTAAACATCCCACACCCACCCCAGTAAACACCCCACACCCACCACAGTAAACACCCCACACCCACCCCAGTAAACACCCCACCCACCACAGTAAACACCCACACCCACCCAGTAAACACCCCACACCCACCACAGTAAACACCCACACCCACCACAGTAAACACCCCAACCCACCACAGCAAACACCCACACCCACCCCAGTAAACACCTCACACTCACCACAGTAAACACCTCACACTCACCACAGTAAACACCCCACACCCACCCCTAGTAAACACCCCACACCCCCCAGTAAACACCCCACACCCGCCCCGTAAACACCCCACACCCACCCAGTAAACACCCCACACCCACCCCGTAAACACCCCACACCCACCCCGGTAAACACCCCACACCCACCCGGTAAACACCCCACACCCACCACAGTAAACACCCCACACCCACCACAGGTAAACACCCCACACCCACCCCGGTAAACACCCCACACCCACCCCGGTAAACACCCCACACCCACCCCGGTAAACACCCCACACCCACCACAGTAAACACCCACACCATCACCCCACCACCGTAAACACCCCACACCCACCCAGTAAACACCCCCACCCACCCGGTAAACACCCCACACCCACCACAGTAAACACCCCACACCCACCCCGGTAAACACCCCACACCCACTCCGTAAACACCCCACACCACCCCAGTAAACACCCCACACCCATCCCGGTAAACACCCCACACCCACCCCAGTAAACACCCCACACCCATCCCGGTAAACACCCACACCCACCCAGTAAACACCCCACACCCACCACGGTAAACACCTCACACCCACCACAGTAAACACCCCACACCCACTCCAATAAACACCCCACACCCACCCAGTAAACACCCCACACCCACTCCAATAAACACCCCACACCCACCCCAGTAAATACTGTCGAACCAGCAAACATTTCACATATACTTCACATATAGGTTGTTGGTGGTAGCACAGCACAACCTGATTGATCTGGCAGGTTGATGGTGGCGGCAGCTGGCAGGCCTACACAACCTGGGTGATCTGGCAGGTTGTTGGTAGCAGTAGCTGGCAGGTTGTGGAGTTACTGGTGAAATTCCGCCTTGAAAACTTCCGCTTCTGTTCCGGCATCATTGTTAATGTTGATAACTGTGGTGCCCATGACACTGTATCACCCCACCACCCACACCTCAACCCACAGTACCCCACCCTCACCACCCACACCTCCACCCAAACCTCCACCCACACCTCCACCCACACTACAACCACACCTCCACCCACACTACCCCCACCCCACCACCCACACCTCCACCCACACTACCACCACCCCCACCACTCATACCTCCACCCACACTACCCCCACCATCCACACCTCAACCCACACTACCCCACCGCCCACACCTCCACCCACACTACCCCACCCCCACCACCAACACCTCTACTCACACTACCCCCACCCTCACCACCCTCACCTCCAACACACCTCCACCCACACTACTCCCACCCCACCACCCTCACCTCCACCCACACCTCCACACACAGCACCCCACCACCTCCAACAACACCACCCCAACACTTCCACCCACACCTCCACCCACACCCACACCTCCACCCACACCTTCACCCACACCTCCACCCCACTCCCACACTCCTAACACCCACTACAACACTCCTCCACACAACCCACACCTCTATTTCCATACATGTCCTCCACTCACACTGTCAACTCACGCACCCTTCATCATACTCTCCACTCTCCCTCCCACCTCACCACACCCCACTCACCCACACCTCTCACCCATCACCCACACTCCACCCACGACCTCCCCACACCCACACCCCCAACCTCCACCCACACCCACACCTCCACCCACACCTCCACCCACTCCCACACTCCTAACACCACTACAAGACTCCTCCATTACATAACCAGCTCCTCATAATTTGCATACATGTTCTCCACTCGACTTGTCTAATGTGAAGACCCGTTTATTGTCAGTTGTGATGCTGCTCTCTCTCTCTCTCTCTCTCTCTCTCTCTCTCTCTCTCTCTCTCTCTCTCTCTCTCTCTCTCTCTCTCGTATTCATTAAACAGTTATCAGAGAGACTGTTGAAAATTCTTTCTCTTGTCTTGACTTAACATGGAGAAAAAATATATATGACGATTTTTTTTGCATAATTAGGTTTAAATGAAACATAATGAGAGAGAGAACTCTCAGCTCAGTTTAATTTTAGAACTGATACAAACTATATAAATATTTACCGAGTTTTTATATTATTACTATTATTATTATTATTATTATCATCATTAACTATTATGTTGAGGGGAAGAAGTTGGCACAGAGCGCCTGGGGAAACAGGAGATAAATATGTTTGATCCAAGGAAGGAAACATAACTCTAATTCCTTGGATGAAGAGTAATTGTTTCTTACCATTAACCATGGTGGCCTCGTACTCCGCCTGGAGACTCGACATGTCTGTGAAGTCCTCATACAGCGGCATACTGTAAGTATACACACTCTTAATAAACACAAAACATACAAAAAACACCTGATTAAAACATCTGGATAAAACACGTGATTAAAAGCACCTGAGTAAAACACACCCCATTAAAATACCCGATTAAAAACCTGAGTAAAACACGCTATTAAAACACCTCAATAAAACACCGTAAAAAACCTCATCTCTCTTATTTTACATAATTAATAGTATTCTTAATATTGATTTACTTGATAATACTTCAAAAAGGCATTCCAAAAATTAATTTAAAAATTTTAATATTACAAAATTTTGAGCGATCAGTAGCCTAGTTTTTTCTTTTTAATTTAAACTCAAAATATTTTGTTAGAAGCTGTTAGTCTAACAACAGGGAAATGTACATTGTTTATATTTATGTAAATTATTTATACTGCTGCGATTTATACAAGTTTCTTTTATTGCTACAAGCAGGTTTTTACTACACGTGAGAGAGTACTATATAATGATGTCCAGGATGAACAATGTCTCAAAGTGGCAGTGTAGAGGAACCTTCACCTGGGTTCACATCCCTTTACCTGCCTCACCTTCACCTGGGTTCACATCCCTTTACCTGCCGCACCTTCACCTGGGTTCATATCCCTTTACCTGCCTCACCTTCACCTGGGTTCACATCCCTTTACCTGCCTCACCTTCACCTGGGTTCACATCCCTTTACCTGCCTCACCTTCACCTGGGTTCACATCCCTTTACCTGCCTCACCTTCACCTGGGTTCACATCCCTTTACCTGCCTCACCTTCACCTGGGTTCACATCCCTTTACCTGCTCACCTTCACCTGGGTTCATATCCCTTTACCTGCCTCACCTTCACCTGGGTTCACATCCCTTTACCTGCCTCACCTTCACCTGGGTTCATATCCCTTTACCTGCCTCACCTTCACCTGGGTTCACATCCCTTTACCTGCCTCACCTTCACCTGGGTTCACATCCCTTTACCTGCCTCACCTTCACCTGGGTTCACATCCCTTTACCTGCCGCACCTTCACCTGGGTTCATATCCCTTTACCTGCCTCACCTTCACCTGGGTTCACATCCCTTTACCTGCCTCACCTTCACCTGGGTTCATATCCCTTTACCTGCCTCACCTTCACCTGGGTTCACATCCCTTTACCTGCCGCACCTTCACCTGGGTTCATATCCCTTTACCTGCCTCACCTTCACCTGGGTTCAGATCCCTTTACCTGCCTCACCTTCACCTGGGTTCACATCCCTTTACCTGCCTCACCTTCACCTGGGTTCATATCCCTTTACCTGCCTCACCTTCACCTGGGTTCACATCCCTTTACCTGCCTCACCTTCACCTGGGTTCATATCCCTTTACCTGCCTCACCTTCACCTGGGTTCACATCCCTTTACCTGCCTCACCTTCACCTGGGTTCACCCACTCCCCCTCACTTTACCCTTGCCTGCCACCTTCACCTGGGTTCACATCCCTTTACCTGCCTCACCTTCACCTGGGTTCATATCCCTTTACCTGCCTCACCTTCACCTGGGTTCACATCCCTTTACCTGCCTCACCTTCACCTGGGTTCACATCCCTTTACCTGCCCACCTTCACCTGGGTTCAATCCCTTTACCTGCCTCACCTTCACCTGGGTTCACATCCCTTTACCTGCCTCACCTTCACCTGGGTTCACATCCCTTTACCTGCCTCACCTTCACCTGGGTTCACATCCCTTTACCTGCCTCACCTTCACCTGGGTTCACATCCCTTTACCTGCCTTCACCTTCACCTGGGTTCACATCCCTTTACCTGCCGTCACCTTCACCTGGGTTCAATCCCTTTACCTGCCTCACCTTCACCTGGGTTCAATCCCTTTACCTGCCTCACCTTCACCTGGGTTCAGATCCCTTTACCTGCCTCACCTTCACCTGGGTTCACATCCCTTTACCTGCCTCACCTTCACCTGGGTTCATATCCCTTTACCTGCCTCACCTTCACCTGGGTTCACATCCCTTTACCTGCTCACCTTCACCTGGGTTCACATCCCTTTACCTGCCTCACCTTCACCTGGGTTCACATCCCTTTACCTGCCTCACCTTCACCTGGGTTCAATCCCTTTACCTGCCTCACCTTCACCTGGGTTCACATCCCTTTACCTGCCTCACCTTCACCTGGGTTCACATCCCTTTACCTGCCTCACCTTCACCTGGGTTCAATCCCTTTACCTGCCTCACCTTCACCTGGGTTCACATCCCTTTACCTGCCTCACCTTCACCTGGGTTCACATCCCTTTACCTGCCTCACCTTCACCTGGGTTCAATCCCTTTACCTGCCTCACCTTCACCTGGGTTCAATCCCTTTACCTGCCTCACCTTCACCTGGGTTCACATCCCTTTACCTGCCTCACCTTCACCTGGGTTCAGATCCCTTTACCTGCCTCACTTCACCTGGGTTCACATCCCTTTACCTGCCTCACCTTCACCTGGGTTCACATCCCTTTACCTGCCTCACCTTCACCTGGGTTCACATCCCTTTACCTGCCTCACCTTCACCTGGGTTCACATCCCTTTACCTGCCTCACCTTCACCTGGGTTCACATCCCTTTACCTGCCTCACCTTCACCTGGGTTCACATCCCTTTACCTGCCTCACCTTCACCTGGGTTCAGATCCCTTTACCTGCCTCATCTTCACCTGGGTTCAGATCCCTTTACCTGCCTCATCCTTCACCTGGGTTCAGATCCCTTTACCTGCCTCATCTTCACCTGGGTTCAGATCCCTTTACCTGCCTCATCTTCACCTGGGTTCAGATCCCTTTACCTGCCTCATCTTCACCTGGGTTCAGATCCCTTTACCTGCCTCATCTTCACCTGGGTTCAATCCTTTACCTGCTTCACCATTCACCTGGGTTCACATCCCTTACACTGCTTACTTCTCACGGGGGATTTGAATCCCTAAAGCAGTCCGAATTATCCATGGGAATCACAGTTAAGCATGCCTGAGTAAATTTTATTATTATAGTTAATCTTATATCTATATTACTGATATATATCTTATACTATATTACTGTTAATATCATTAAGCACTGGATAAAAAAAACGATTTATGTATAGACAACAAACAAGACAAACAACATGGCAAATCAACTACAAAACCTACAGATAGAGGGTGAGGCGGAGGTGTGAGGCGGGGGACTAGGGGAGAGCAAAGCTGTTTTAGTGTTGTTTTACCGAGTATAAGCATTTAAATTAATTAAATTACTCAGGCCATTTTACTCCCAGTAACCAGGACATTAAACCTTCACTATGTAAGACCTTGTCTAATGGCGCTTTGAGGCCCTATCACTGGCACCACCACACTCTGTAGGCTACGGGGATTTAAGGAATTGATTTTTCAAAGAGTATAAGTAATATAAGAATTTTATATATATATATATATATATATATATATATATATATATATATATATATATATATATATATATATATAAATTATATTTCTCTTTCAACACACCGGCCGTATCCCACCGAGGCAGGGTGGCCCAAAAGGAAAAACGAAAGTTTCTCCTTTTACATTTAGTAATATATACAGGAGAAGGGGTTACTAGCCCCTTGCTCCCGGCATTTTAGTCGCCTCTTACAACACGCATGGCTTACGGACGAAGAATTCTGTTCCACTTCCCCATGGAGATAAGAGGAAATAAACAAGAACAAGAACTAGAAAGAAAATAGCAGAAAACCCAGAGGGGTGTGTATATATATGCTTGTACATGTATGTGTAGTGTGACCTAAGTGTAAGTAGAAGTAGCAAGACGTACCTGAAATCTTGCATGTTTATGAGACAGAAAAATGGACACCAGCAATCCTACCATCATGTAAAACAATTACAGGCTTTCTTTTTACACTCACTTGGCAGGACGGTAGTACCTCCCTGGGTGGTTGCTGTCTACCAGCCTACTACCTATAATATATATATATATATATATATATATATATATATATATATATATATATATATATATATATATATATATTATATATATATATATATATATATCTCCTTTGACAGGGAAAATATATTTACGACAGTTTAATGGTAAAGTTGATAGTAATTTAGGTTATATTCAACGCAAAATTGCGATAGAAAGTTTTCCTCTGAAATGAGTTGAGGTAAATGTGTGAGCAGTACTCTAGACAAGAGTAGATGTGTGAGCAGTACTCTAGACAAGAGTAGATGTATGTGCAGTACTCTAGACAAGAATAGATGGGAATGCAGGAGCAAGTTGCTTAAGACAGGAGCCACACCATCCAGGCTTGACATATTATTGGTGCTTATCTCTTCTCTTGCTTCCTGAAGCAACATATTTGTGACAAGTGAGTAAAGAGAGCAGTGAGTGAGACAGAGGAGTTCAGAAGACAAGAACCTCCAAGTCTGAGTTAGTTTCAAGAAGAGTCACGAAGACTTTGTCTCGACAACAACAGCAGCAGCAACTGTACTCTCAAAAGACTGAAGGAAGGGAAGAAAAAATATGGCATACATTTCTGCGGCTCACTGAGTTCCTCACTTTATCGCAGATACAACGCAGTCACTATCATGTGAGTCATCTATACCAGCTGTTAACACAAGGGCCAGAGTCTTCTAGTAGTGGTGTACCATATAGCTGGTCTTGTGACTGTTGTGTTACCTCTCAGTGAGTCTGGTGACTGTTGTGTGACTTCTTAGTGAGGGTTGACTGGCTGGTTCAGTTACCTCATTTTATTGAATATTCTTGAAGGTCAGGACCCTCTCAAGCCGGGAGCTGGTTCACATCATATGAGCTACCTGTCTTGGTCCCTGCTGAGTCTACTCTCATAGTAGAGAGTGGACTCTTTCCAAGGTGTGCCAGCAATACTCTGAACATTACTCCACTCTCTTTAAATATAAAGTGGCTCCTGTTTGACTTATTGTAAAATATCTACCTGTAAGTAGATATTTTATTGAAGAGATATAAGTATATAAAGCTCCTGCTGTGTCTGTTTCTCTTCC